CGAGTACCCCCCCCCCCCCCCCTTTCATTTCGAAGAGTAGATACCAATATGAATGCATCCATGGATGTTGGAGCAGCGAGCTTGTGTTCAGCAGTTATTTTATTTGATGCACTTCAAATACATTATGATTATTTCTGTGTAGTTTGTTTCTAAGATGGGCTTTTGAAGAAGGCTAATGAACTTTCAGTGTTTTGAGGTGCTCAAGTTGGGCACTTCCTCAACTTCTCTGGCGCTGGAAAGCTGTGTGAATACTGCATAGAGGCCTCGTAGTCTATACTAAATTAATTTCAACAGAACAGAAGAAAAATAACAATCAGAAGCTGATATAATTTAAAATATGCATGTTGTGATCATAGCTAACTCCTTTTTTTTTTAGGGCTAGCCAGCTCTTGGTCATGGATTTAAGTAGCTTGCTCAAGATTTACCAAGAATTAAAAGACCCGATTATTTCTTTGGATGATTAATTACTCCATTAAAGGGCATGCATAGATATTGAATTGAAATTGAAAGGAAAAAAATGAAATCAGAGCTAAGCTTCAGGGAAAAAGAAAGAAAGCGTTTTGTCTAGGTGAAACGCTAGTTTGTCACGAGCATGCACAGACAGTCGAGTCTTACTCAAGTTGGTCAATTAAATTTCTGATAGAAGGGGACGGGATGGGGAACAAAAGGGATCTTCTATACAGGAGACAGATCCAGGTCAGCAAAGAAGAAGATCATTTACTCATAAATGCCAAGATATCTCTTCAGCCCCATAAAAACATCACAAAAAATACAAAGAAAAAAAAAGTTCTTTTTATATGAGACCAGAAGGGGTCTAAGAAAAACAAAGTAGAAAAGCAAAAAAACAGTGTTAACACACAGATAAGAAGCCAAATATTATAAATTTTGAAATGCTAGAGAGAAATGATAAATATAGAGACCTCAAAACCTCAGTGAGTATTGACACAATACTTTTCCGGCAGTAGAGAAGAAGATGAGGCCATTTTAAGCATCACATGGACTGAAACTTGATGAGTCCTCTAGAAAAGCCATCCCGACGCCTCGAGAAAGTAGAGGATAAATCAGAGATGGATATTTATATATAACAACCGAGGATGCTATTTTGCAGCCCCAGTCGTGTTGCAGCCAGCACTACTGAGGTTGGCTATTTTGAGCCTCTCACTCTTCTCGGCCTCTCTCTTCAATCTTATTCTCTCCGATCTTGGTTCAACTGACGCTTGACTTACACCTAGTCGAAGGTAAAAAAGAAAGGAGGAGAAAAAAGATTATGACCCAACAGAACCTGCACCTATGCTACCCTCTCTTGCCAATAAACGTCTCTTGGATTGTCTCAAGCTAACCTTTTCACCAATAACCATCCATAAGCTCGACTATGTATCAACTCTCGTATCGTCGGCATCCTTTCTGTTAGTAGTTGGGCGTGAGGGTGGCTGCTTTAAAGAGTTTTTTATTTAAAAATATATTAAAAAAAAATAGTTTAAAAGAATATTTTAATATTAGTATATTAAAAATATTTAAAAATATAAAACATAATTAATTGAAAAAATAATTTTTTTAAAAATACCGATTAACCCGTGTTTCCAATATGAGCTTTTAAGCCCCCAACTTTTCTAGTCTGACCATCATTTTAATTAATAGGCGGCAGCCTGACTTTTTTTTTTTAACATAAAAAAATTTAATAAATCAAATGTGTAAACGTGGTTAGCCTGCCAACAATATAGAGATAAAAGTAAAAAAAATATAAAAACTAATTTTTAATAAATTAAATATTTAAAAATAAAATTAAAAACATTAAAATTAATCCATCTTACTTTTGATCTTAGTCATGAACCAATAATTAACACTATAAAAAACAAATTTAAAAAATAACAAAGCAAAATTATAAATTAATAAATTATTAAAGTACAAAATTAAAAAAAAATATAATAAAAAACCCTTCTAAACAAAAGAAATAATAATTAAAATAATAAAAATTAATTTTGATACAAAAATAAATTGATATAAAATCTTCAAGATAAAGTTAAAAATAAAATTTAACTAAAAAAGTGATAAAAATAAATAAAAAATAATAAAAAATAAAGTTTAAAATTTAAATGAAATCAAATCAAATATGAAAGATAAAATTTAAGAAAAAAATTAATAAAAAAAAAGAATAAAAACAAGTCAAATAACAATAAAACAAAATAAAGATTAATTGGAAGCAAAAAACAAATAAAAGACACGTGTAATCTTTGGCGAGGAGAAAAGAGAGAAGAATAAAAAAATATTAAAACTCAACTGCATATCTGCCCTGAAAAACGGTGTTCAGACAATGGGCAAAGCTACACACACTTCTAGAAGGACATGAATTTCATTCATAAGTTGGTGGATGTGTGTCATGTGCTAATTTTTTTAAGTAATATTTAAATTATTAAAAAAAATAAAACCACCCCGCTCTAATATATTAATTACATACAAACCTAAAAGACACGGATACCCATTGGTTGCAAGGGTTTTTTTCTTTCTTTTTCTTTCAAGTGCATAGATGTATTTAAAGTGTTTATAATTATGTAAAAAGACCAAATAGACCCCGGTCAACCTATTAACTCCAATACAAAAAAACACATGAAGGTAAATACCCTTGATTGTTAGTTTTGGTGCTCAGGGGTATGAAAGTTTTTACATTATTTTTTTTTTAAAAAGTAAAAATAATCTTTAAACAAATTTTACTTTCAAGATGATATAATCTTTATCTTATACGCAAGATAAAATTAAAAGATAAAATTATCTCAAATAATTAAATAATGACCAATGAAATCTTTAAAAACTACAACATTAGCCCAAGAGTAAGTTAATATTTTTTTATTGGAAGGTGAAAAAAATAATCATCCTATATTCCGAAGAATAAAAATACGTGTCTACAATGTTTTCTCAACCTCCTTTATTTATTTATTTATTTTTAATTTTAATCAGGCGAGACCGTAACCTAAGAAAAACAAGTGGGAATGAAAGGAATGTCAACTCAAAATCAAGATCGAGGTGGGTAATTAAAATTGAAATATCTTTGGAAGCTAGTGCTTTGCTAGTCTGAACACGTGGAAATGGAGAGTGTGAAGAGAGAGAGAGAGTTAAATAATGACCAATGAAATCTTTAAAAACTACAACATTAGCCCAAGAGTAAGTTAATATTTTTTTATTGGAAGGTGAAAAAAATAATCATCCTATATTCCGAAGAATAAAAATACGTGTCTACAATGTTTTCTCAAACTCCTTTATTTATTTATTTATTTTAATCAGGCGAGACCGTAACCTATGAAGAAGGAGAAGAAAAACAAGTGGGAATGAAAGGAATGAGTTAATATTTTTTTATTGGAAGGTGAAAAAAATAATCATCCTATATTCCGAAGAATAAAAATACGTGTCTACAATGTTTTCTCAACCTCCTTTATTTATTTATTTATTTTTAATTTTAATCAGGCGAGACCGTAACCTAAGAAAAACAAGTGGGAATGAAAGGAATGATATATATATATATATATATATGATAGTCTTTTTATTGGTTATTTGAATTAAAAAAAAAACTACTACTACATTTACAGAGGAAAAATGCAGACCACTCATATCTTGTATTTTAAAATTACTTTTTAAAAAAATTATGTTTTTACCATAATATATATACATACACATATTTTCAAGTGATAACTATAAAAATTAAATATATGTTTGATATTGTAATGGATATTATTTTTATTTTTTTTAAACTAAATTTTTATATGTTTTTATATTGTTTTAATGTTTTGATAAAAAAATTAAATTATAAAAAAATAAATAATATTATTTTAATATATTTTTAAATACAAAATACTTTAAAAATAACTATTATTACAATACCATGCATTTAACTTTTATATTTATTGCTTGAATATATATATTATAATTTTTTTTCTTTTCATTCAGATTTCAATTGCGAATTTTGACTGACATTAAAATAAAATTATAGTATATAATGATTAATTAAATATTTTTAAAATTATAATTAAAATAAAATACAATTCTGATCATGCGCATCAAACCCCGAAACAAATATGGAAATGACACCGTTTGAAAGATGAAGTTATTATAAAACATTTGTGTTTGTTTTTTATGTTAAAAAATGTTTATAAATTTTTTTGAATTACCTTTAATTTTAAATTGTTTTTTAATTTATTTTGCTTTGTTGGGTAGCCTGATTTGCCGCATCTCCAATTTGAATGTATCCCCCTCCTCACACTTGCATAACTTGCCTTGCAATTTATGAACCTTCCCTCCCTCTCCATCTCTCTCAATGCATCTATCCTGTAAAAAATTCCAAAACTCCTCTCCTTTCACTTTCTCACCTCATCATCCTGGTAGCAAATCGCTTTCGATCCCCAGCTTTCTTTCTTTTCTCATCCATCTCCCATAACTCGCCACTCATTATTGCTATTTAACATTTTCTTGTTATCTCTCATGCATTGTTACATTTTAATGAAATCTGGAGTGAGTAAATAGTAATGGCCGCTGCAGTCAGTTCAAGAGGTGGGAGAAACACCGTAGAATTCCAGATTCCAAGGAAATGGAATGAAGACAGAGAAACCACTCCAGAGAGAGCCAGAGCATTCTGGAGTGAATCTCGTAAGCTGTCCAGAAAGGCCCCTGTAGTCTACTATCTGTCCAGAAATGGTCAGCTTGAGCATCCCCCTTTCATGGAGGTCCCTCTCTCTTCCAATGACGGCCTCTACCTTTCGGGTAAAAAGAAACTAATTTTTAAATTTAAACCAAAAGACAACTTTTTAGAGAGAAAAAATCGGCAGCACAAATATCTCTTTTCCTCCTTGCATTAATTTCTTATCTATTTATCAGATGTAATCAACCAGTTAGACCTCCTTCGAGGCAAAGGCATGGCTAGTCTCTACTCCTGGTCCTCTAAACGGTAAGTTCAAACAAGTAATGATACACCTCCTTCATCGATCTAATTAATCACTCCAAATCTTGTTGACTCCAGGAGCTTCAAAAACGGCTTCGTTTGGCAGGACTTGACCGAGAACGATTTCATTCACCCGGCTCACGGTCACGAGTACATTCTCAAAGGATCAGAGATTCTCGATCATTCTAACCAACAGCTCTTCCTCGAGCCGAAACCTCAAGAAACCAGTCAAGCCTCGGAGTTTCCAGTTATCACGAGGCGTAGGAACCAATCCTTGAGCTCTATCAATCTTAATGAGTACAAGGTTTACAAGGCCGAGTCGTTCTCCGAGTCTGCTCGGAAACTCTCTGCTGACGCGTCGACTCAGACTGATGATAGCAGGAGAAGAAGGAGACACGTCAAACCGGAAATCAAGAAGATGAAGGAGGAGAAAAAAATTAGTCAGGAACGGGAGGCGAACAGAGACGAGATTATGGAGATTTCACCCCCACCGTCCGACTCTAGCCCAGAGACTCTGGAGTCTTTGATGAAGGCTGATGGACGGCTGATATTGGGCGGTCATAACGAAGGGAGTGGCATGGATTTGAATCAAACGGCAAAGAACTGTGGGAAGATGAAAGCGTCTACTGTTCTGATGCAGTTGATATCGTGCAGTTCTTCGATCTCGTTTAGAGACTGTGGGGCGATGCCAGGGAAGGAGCCCGGCTTGCCGTTGATTTCTGGGCATTACAAGGGTAGGGTGCCATGTGGAGGAGGGAGCCGTGAGGCAACATCGGGGGAAATTTATAATTTTTCCAGGGTAAAATTGGAAGAGAAGGAGTATTTTAGCGGGAGCGTGATTGAGACAAAGAAGGAGGTGCCTGCTTTGAATTTGAAGAGGTCCAGTTCCTGCAGTGCAGCTAGGTAACTTCATTTTTACTGCTGTCTGCTGCATTTTGATTCTCTGATTCTTTGCCCCTTGTGGCAGGGCACTTGTGAAATAAGAGTGCAGTGGGTGGCTACTGTTAGGGAGGGATTCACGTATCTAACTTTGGTGGCTACTAGCTAGAGCATGAGTTGACTTATTATGCACTGGATTTATTACTGGAATAAAGCATAAAATTGAAGGTTCATTTGAATTTGTTAGGCATATAATTGAAGTCTACTGGTAGATAACCTAAATTTTGGTCCTAATTCATATTAAAAAAACTAAAAGGGGTTGTGATTTTGTTGCTGTGTTATTTACTGTTCATCCTCTCGTTTTAGCAATTAGTTTTTCTAAAGTTTTAAATTTGGGTAGTGAACTTTTATTTTACATAATTGGGTTCTTTTAAGCTTAAATTAGCGTTTAATTGCATGTTTTTTTTAGGGGGAAAAGATTGAATGGAAAGACAAATGATCAAAACAGAAGTGGGTAAAATAGGTGTTAGTTATAAAATTTTAGTTCTCCATTAATTTTAACTAGGTTAATGGTTCCTTTAATTTTTAAAAATTGGATTTTGGAATTAAATTTTTTTTATTTTTTTTAGTGTTTTTTTTAGCCACGTTCTAGGTTCCAGTATAGAGGGAGAATGTTCTTGTTAGTGATAATTTTAACCATTAAAATAGTTAATTTTTGTCTCAAATAATTTCATATAATAAGTTAAATTTTAATTATAAAAAGTTTAAATTATATTTTTTTACCTTAAAAGTGCAAAAAAAAATAAAAATTTGAGTTTGAGAAATTTTTTTTATTTCAGTTTGATTTTGAGTTTTGATGTAGTTTTTGTTTTTTTTTTAAAGCATGGTTATTATGGTAATTTTATGTTTTTTGGATAAAAATAAATTAAAAATGAATTTTTAAATAAAAAACAAAACTTTATTTTTCTTGATTTTAGATGACATGTGTTTTTTTTTTTAAATTTATTTTTAAGTTTGCATTTTAATTGATACCCTTTAATGAATTTTTTTCATTCGTAAGTAATTTTTTAAAATTGTAAATATATTAAATTTATTTTCTTATAATATTTTTAATATATACATTCTTGTATAATATTTTTCTTTTATTTTATTCAATAAATTTTACTATTATAATTTGATTTTAATAAATAAATTTATTAAATATAATTGACTAAATAATTTATGTTGTGATTTTATAAATTTTTTATCTATATTTATCTTTGTATTTTTTTTATTTGTATTTATTGTTAATAACTTTATTTATTTATTTATTTAATATATTTTTTATTTATTTAATTAGATGGATGTGTTAGTTTTTTTTATATATTTTAAAATTTTAAATGCCTTGAGAATTTTTACATTTTAATTTTTTATCATGTTTTGATATTTTTAATCAAATTAATTAATATTGACTTGGATTAATATTTTTTAAAAAAATTATTATAATTTTTTTTAATTATATTATCAAATTAATTGAATTTCTTTTAATTTTTTAAAAGAGCTATTGTCCGGCTCACAGCATGGTGGGAGACATTAAGCTAGCGTTTGCTCGATATTGAGATTATTTGGTTTTTTTAAAATAATTTTTTGTATTGAAATATATGATAATTATTTTTTTATTTTTTAAAAATTATTTTTAATATTAATATATCAAAACAATTCAAAATATATAAATTATATTAAATTTTAATAAAAATACAAAAAAAAATTAAATTTTTTAAAAAACACATGTTGAAGTACATTCTCAAACAGTTTCTATATATTGGTTAGGTCCTTCGATGAATGTTTGTGAACACTTTCATTTATTTTTCGTGGGGTTATGATGCCAGCACTTCGAGAGTGATTCGGTGACTGTGGATTAAAGGCCATTGGATTTGAACCTAAGAGTCCTTTTCTGCTATTTATTCAAATTCAATAACCCAAATAGGCAGCTCAGCATCTCTAGACTCCCAAATTGTATCTCATTAGTGTTTTTGGACAGCAAGAAGGTGCCAACATCGGGTTGGAATCCCAGTTTAGAATACCATTATTTTTATTTTCAATGTGCACTATGATTATTACGTAGTACTGTACTAGTAACGAAGTGAAGGTTGATTTGAAGTTTCACTTGCAAAAGTGCTTCCACGTATTTCAACTCATAGGAGTTGGTAAATCTTTTGGTTTCTTTACTTGCCTTGCCTCTCTTTCCCTGGGGATTCTCCTGTCAGATCCATGATTCTCTGTTAGCGTTTTTGGATTGATTTGAATGCAAGACTCGTAAGTATTTTGGTTTTTATCAGCAAAGCCAGCTAGCTTGGCTATCTAGTTTCACTTCCCTGCCCCAGAATAGTAAACTGGCTTTGTACTTATCAGTCACCTTTCTTCCCAGTTACCACGTAGTTTTATTAAAGGGCTGACACCTCCATCATCATGTGGGGGATCCTGAATTGAATTCATGCAGTTGAGAATTTATTTCAACAAATCTAGGGGAAGCTGCCCTTCTGTACCTTTACTAGCAGGCTAGTTCGTCCCGCACTGCACCTATGGGGACCATAGCAATAAACTACTAATAATTCTCTTAGTTTGAAGCTTATAAGTTTTCATGCTCATGTGAAGAGAAAAAAATATTACAACTCCGTACTAGAGGAGTTGACTTCTATTTTCAGCATTTTTGCCCTTTTTCTTCTCGTTTTGATTGATCTGATGCTAATCTCAGGAGCTCGCAGCTGCAATTGGCAGAAAAGGAGATTGAAGGAGTGCGCACCAGATGCATGCCAAGGAAGTCGAGAGCAATGGTAACCAGAAGAGAAAGTAGCGTTAACGTCGTTGTTGACAATGATAATAAAAATAATAATGTTGACAGTAGTCAAGTAGGGAGCAAGAGACTGGAGGTCCAACAAGTCTAAGATGAGGGTAGATGAGATTATGAACCCTAATGTGGTGGTAGCTTTCTGTGAATCTAGTCTTCAGTTTGGAACGGAAAAGTGAAAACTAAGAACATAGGCAAAAGAAGACGGGAAATGAAAGATTGGTATTCAAGAAAATGAAGCATAAATGCAAGTGCCGGCACGGCGAGCACGCACACTGAGGGTAAAAGTAAGGGTTGGGACTTGGGAGTTCCTATAAAGTCAGCTGGTTTCATGGAAGGCTTGTGAATTAACTGTTCGTTTCTTTGAGTTTGGAGCTGTGAGCTGTGAGATCAATATTCGGTACCTACCGAGGTGTTTGTGGAAGTTGAACACATAATCTTTTATCTCGTGATGTACTAAATTAAAAATTTCTTAACCCTCTGTGACTATGTGACCTTGACTTTGGAACATGGAATACGAAATTTTGTCCTAGGTATTATCGTTTACCTTGGCTTGGTCTTGATTGTTTCCAAAGCATTCACGTGAGCTTCCGAGCAATTTTGCTTACCCATTATGTCATGGTAACTAGAGGTGGTGGTGTCGCACTCTATGTGTAGATTATATTTTAAAATTTTTTATTTTTTTATTTAAAATAAAAGAATTTATATTTTTTAATCATTAAAATTGATGTTAAAAATTATTTTAAAAAATAAAAAATTATTTTTATATAAAATTTTTTTCACCTTCTCTTAACTTTTTATTGCTACCCAGAACTTGAAGTCTATAGAGAATTCTGCACTTGTCGCCTGGGCAGCTCCAGTATAAGGATCAGGTTAAGTATTATTGGGTCTGGAAAAAATTATGTGGGAGAATACCATAGTAATTTACAGTATTTTAAAAAAAAAATTATAAAGCTAAATTATCAACCAGTTTGATATAGAAAAAAATAAAATCAATAAAAAAAAAAACCATGCAGAAAAACACTATAGTAATTTATAGTGTTCATGAAAAAATCTATAATTATAATTCTCAACTAGCTAATATTAAAAATAATAAAATTGATAAAGATAATTTTAAAAAAATCATAATAAAAAAATTATGTGGAAGAATATTGTAGCAATTCACAGTATTTAAAAAAAAAACTATGAAACTAAATTTTCAACCAGCTCAATATAAAAAAATAAAATCAACAAAGATAATTCTTGAAAACAATTATAAAAAAAAAACTAAAAAGTTAAATTCTTAATCAGCTCCATGTTAAAAAAAAAAATCAACAAAAATAATTTTGAAAAAAAAACAAGAAGAAGACAATTTTGGAAAAAAAAAATATGTGAGGAAGGTTAAAGCTAAATTCTCAACCAGTTAAATATTAAAAAAAAATTGACAAAAATAATTTAAAAAATTATATAAGGAAACATTGTAGCTAAACAAAAATCATGTGGAAAAATATTGAACAATTCATAGAAAAAAACCATATAAAAAAACATTGTAATAATGTATAATGTTTAAAAAAAACACTACAAAATTAAATTTTTAACCAGTTCAATATTATAAAAAATCAACAAAGATAATTTAATAAACTAAAAAACCAAAAAAGAAGAAGAACATGTAAAACCCAAAAAAAAAAGAAAAAAATGTGGGGAAAGAAAAAGCAAAAAAAAAAAGAACAAACAAAAAAAAATGCCACGACACTTTCTCTAAGCCTTTTAGAGTATTAAAAACAAAAAAGAAGAAGAAAATCTAGGGAAAAAAAAAGAAGAACATGTAAAACCCAAAAAAAGAGGGGAAATGTGGGGGAAAAAAAGAACAAATAAAAAAAAATGCCAAGACACTTTCCCTAAGCCTTTTAGAGTATTAAAAAAATAAAATTAACAAAAATAAAAGGAAAAAAATCATGCAGGGAAACACTATAGCAATATTTAGTATTTCATGAGGAAATCTACAATTATAATTCTCAATTAGCTCAATATTCAAAATAATAAAATTGATAAAAGTAATTTTAAAAAAAATCACAATAAAAAAAAATGGAGGAACACTGTAACAATCTACAGTATTTTAAAGAAAAAACTACACAGTTATATTCTCAACCAGCTCAATATATGAAAAAATAAAATCGACAAATATAATTTAAAAAAATTGTAAAAAATAGAAAAAATTATGTAAGGAAACACTATAGCAATCCATAGTGTTTTTTTTTAAAAAACCTACAAAGCAAAATTCTTAACCAACTCCATATTAAAAAAATAAAATCAACAAAAAAAATTCTAAAAAGAAGAAGAAGAAGAAGAAGGCAATTTTGGAAAATGAAACCAAAAAATGAAAAAAATGAAAAAAAAGTCATATGGGAAAAGTTAAAGTTGAATTCTTAACCAGTTCAATTTTAAAAAAAATATAAAAAAACACGGTAACAAAATAAAAATCATGTGGAAGAAACATTATAATAATTCACAAAAAAAAGTCATATAAGGAAATATTATTGTAATTCATAATGTTTTAAAGAAAAAAAATTACATAACTAAATTTTCAATCAGTTTAATATTTTTAAAAGAATTAACAAAGATAAAAAAACAAAAGAAGAAGAAAAAAAATAATCTTGAGAAAAAAAAAACATGTAAAACCCAAAAAAAGGAGGAAATGAGAAAAAAATATGGGAAAAAAATAGAAAAACAAAAAAAAAACATGTAGCGTGGGGAAAGTTACAGTACTTTCCCCACACCTTTTAGAGTATTAGTTAATATTATAAAGAGTATTATTTATGTTATAATTATTTTTATTTTTATTATAATTAAAAATCAGGCATATCCATGCCCAACCCAAAATTGAACTTCAATGTGTCGATGTCCAAACTCAAGTTGGGTTTGAAGGCATCCAAACTCAAATTCAGATTGGATCTGGACATGTTTGTGTCCACCACACTCATCCCCAAGGTGGTCATGGACGTGTCCATGACCAACTTGAGGCACACAAGCATGCCAAATGTAAATTGGGGTTGCATGCGTGCTCTCTCAAACCCAAGTTGGGCTTGGAGACGTCCAAGCCCAACTTCGTGTTGGTTTTGGACGCGTCCACGCCAAACTTGGTGTTTGTGCTGGATGCGTCCGCGCACATTTTCAAGTTTGGTAAAAACACGTTCATGCCCACTCATATATGTTAATATAATAATTTGTATCATAAATATTAATTTTTTTTATAATTTAAAATATTCAAATTAAAAATAGTATTATTTGTGTTATAAATATTATTATTTTTATTATAATTCAGATATAAAAAATATTATTATGTGTTGTAATTATCCTTAAAATTCTTAATATAATTATTTATATTATAAATATAATTAGTTATATTATAATTAATATTATTAATAAAATAATTAAAAATAATTATTATTAATATTAAAAAATATAATTTTTATATGATAAATTTTTAAAATAATTTTTATAAACCCACCGTGCAGGCGGGCATCCAACCTGTAAACTACAATAACAAATCAGCTTGAAAAAGAATCAACTGGGGTCTTTCTTGAGGGTAATTCATTGATTTCTGAACCACTCGAGTCGGAGCATGTGATGATGGGGCTAAGGCACAGCTTGGATATGTGAGTCAATTTCTTGCTTAATTTTCTCTCTGAGATTATTGTTTTCAGAAAAAAACAATAGTGAAAATGAAATCCTCATGAGTCTCTTATTTTAAAATGAATAGGAAAATTGTACTAAAAATATTTTAAAAATAGATTTATTTTTAAAATATAATTAATTCCTCGAATACACGCCATAAGATTTTTCCCAGTCCACCCAAAGACGCCACCCCCCCCCCCCCCCCCCCTCCCCCCCTGCCAGAAAACAAAAATGTCTTTGTTTAAGCGTTCTATTTTCAAAATATAATTAATTCCTCGAACATACGCCATGAGATTTTTCCCGATCCAACCAAAGAATCCGCCCCCCACCTTCCCCCGCTGCCAAAAAAAATCAAAGATGTCTTTGTTTACGCACAAAAATGAACTTTCAAAGAAGGAAGAGGACAGTGTCAAGAAGAATAATTCATCTAATTAGAATTTAAATTTATTTTTTAATGATTATTTATTTGAGTTTTTATGGATTTTAGAATGACTTGATATTTATATAATTATTAATTTTAAATTTTATAAAATTAATTGAGATATACAGGGATAATATAAATATTCATATTAATAATAATAAAAAATCAAAGACTTTTTTTTTTGTTTTATTTAAGGACATGATATAGGGCTACTTGGCACTATAAAATACGTACATCATTCCTCCCACAGACTACTTCTATAACCATCATCAAGACTTGCATAATATAGAAATTTAGCTATTGTTCATTCTGTTTATTTCTTCTAGTAATATTTTGTTTCTGTGATTATGGCTTCTTCGTGCAAAAGGAAACCACTAAAAAATACATTCTTAATGTCAAGTTGACGAAGAGGTCAATTATTGGAAATTGCCAACGATAAAACAACCTGAATTATAGATTCCTTAACACCATGGCTAAAGCTTAAACATCAAACTCAATTCGAGGGTTTGATCCAATTCAATTTAGATAAATTTAAATTAATCTAAAAAAATTAATATATATATATATATATATAAAATTTTAATATTTAATATAAAAAAACTTAAAAAATAACTAATATAAATACAGACTATATATATTGTAAATAATAAAGTTTAAAATATTATTTCAAAAGATTTTTAATTTCATATTAAAAAAATATTTTTTTTTATAAATATAGAGTATATATACCAGAAGAATTCAAATTTCATATTGAAAAAATAATTTTTTTTCTTGTCAATATAGAATATATATACTAAAAAATTTTAAATTTCACATTGATAAAATAAAATATTTTTTTAGTATTTATATAATAAACTTTGAAAAGATAACCAACTAAAATATATATATAAAAAATGAAGCTCTAACTAAAAAAAAACATTTAAAAAAAAAAATCAGATCTATATAAGGTTGCGCCGATTATGGATCAACTTAACTAATTAACTAGATTTGACTATTTTTTTCCTCTTGCGGCCTTTCATCATTTTATTTGGGGCAGTCCAGCCACTAAGTCATCCTGTCGAGCTAATCTGAATTTAATAATTATAGCTAAAAATCTCTTATAAAATTGAGCCCTGGTAGTTGAGTGTACTCCTTTGCTGCAAGTCAGGCTTTTAGGCAATTGAAACTTGAAAAACGCATTTTGAACCCACAACATTTTCACAGGTCGACGTGCCAGATCCAATGTTTGATTGTGTTGAAGTGCTCGAATTTCCTCATCCATAGCGGCAATCCACCCTGTGTGCTTGGCAATGAATTTAAACCCTTTTTGGCTCCCGCATAGTAAGGCAAGGAATGAATTAGAGTAGAATATGGAACAGTGCTGATATAAGTTGTTTGGGTTTAAAATTGTCATTTTTAGCTTGAGTTTCCATAGGATGAGTACTTGAAGACTGGGGCCAACAGAAGATGGATCCAATAATGGTATATGCATGTTAGTTGGGTGCGA